AATGTTTATCCTTAAATTTTTCTGATGGAAATTGACTATCAAAAATCCATTCTATACTATCATATAATCCTGCTTCGGTTAATAAGTAAATATAAAAAATATATCTAAAACCTTATGCGTAGCACACTATGCGCGGCACATCTCTAGACTTGCTCAATCAATTACCCCTATCATTAAAATATGAGGCATGGACTCGTCTCAAAACTCGAAAGAGTAATCCATTGAATGAAGTCGAAGCCAGTAAAAATTAATTCCATCGTCGAATCATTTTGAAGCAAGAGATTGACAGATATCAAAGAAAAATTAGCGTGTCAGCATTGAAGTTCATCACATTCGAAATTTTATTGCATGTATATATATATATCATGGACAATGAAACTCAAACACGAAATACTGTTTCTCTTTCTTGTATCTGCAATCATGAGGATGAGATCATTCGTCGAGTGATATGAAGAATGCATCAAAAATAATGAGATGGGATTTGCATGAATTTGCATGGGAGTTGGTTACATACACAAATCCCATGTAATTGCGCATGGTATATGTATAATACCAGTACTAGATTTCCAACGTCATGGTTTAAAAAAGAGAAGAAATCTACAGTCAACTTGTGGCAAAATTTAAGGTAAATTCTTTGAGTGTCATATGTGCTGAAATTTTTTGTTGAAGATTTGGAAACGTGGAGATCTTACTAAACCCATGCAACTATGGTAGGAATCAGAATGTTGCTCGTTTATGGCCGGCATATCTATTGTGGATGGTATGAGAGACTCCTAGTAGTTTCTAAACTCGCACAACTAGAATGGGAATCTGAATGTTGTTCGCTGTAGTTTCTTTTTTTTATTTGCTTGCCTATACTGACTGTGATTTTTCTATTACAGCCCTACACAAAGTTTAGATACTTAAAATGCACTTAAAATATACATCATATACTTAAAATATACTTAAAATATACCGATGGAAGAGAACAAGAACATTTTAAGTGAGTTTTAAGTATGTTTTAAGTATATGAAATTATACTCGAAACACACTTAAAATATACTATATACTTAAAATATACTTAAAACATACTTTTGATGGTAAACTAGCATACTTGAAATACACTTAAAATACACTTAAAAGGTTACTTAAAACATACTTAATTTTGTTCATTATTAAAAAAGGTATGTTTTAAGCACATTTTAAGCACCTTCAAGTAGATTTTAAGCATGTTTTAAATACATTTTAAGCACCTAAACTTTTTGTAGGGCAGATGACCTCTACATTTTCTGTTGTTATGCATAACACCACAAAAGTTCTTCAAACCGCAACAGAAAATTCTCACAATAGATTGGTAAGAGATCAAAGAGAATTTAGGGAAAATGATAGTTGCCTGCTTGATTTTCTAAATTCGATTGTAGATGATGATATTGTCAAAAAGGTAAAAATATAAAATCACAAATCACAAATAATGTTTAGCCTGAAATATCTTTTCCTATGCATAGACTAATCACTAAAATGTGGTTATGATTTTGAAGCAATCGAAGTAAAGGATGAATCATGTGATGTCATTGTCATAATTAAAAATCCTACTTGAGTATTGTATGTACCTAAGGAACCGAAGCGAACCACTTCCACATTTGTACATAACATTTGTTCTTATTCTATTTAATTTTCTAGACGAAATTGGACATGTATAAAAAAATGATGACTTTGGTGAATTTCATCCTAATAAAATCGATTTAACGGATTTACCAATTAAATCTCGATATAATAATAATAATTTCCCAATTATCCGCTAAATCGGAACTCACTGTGTATAATGAATTTTTCTATTAAAGAGTCCTTGGATAATAATCAATTTGCACTCTGTCAGGCCAAAAGTATCAACCTTTAAGCCTTGAAAGGATTTCATATTGTTGATACTGTAGTTTATATAATCAATCGGATATTTCTTATGCTAAGCGACGGATGGTTTGTATTGATCGTGAATTTTAATTAAGTTATATTATGTTTGTTGGTTTTCTATTTATTTTAACAAGAAATTGACTGATTATTATGTGATGTTTTTTTCAAAATAATTATTAGCATTCAAACTGGTGCGGTATTAAATGCTTTATAATAAAATATAAACTAAATTGGTAATTTTATCTGTGAAAAAAGAATCAATAAAATCAAATAGTAAAAAATTTTGCATCACTAGATATTTTACTATATCTTCACTACTCCATTATAAATGGTAGTTATTGCATGCATTGTCATTCAATAACTAGTTTATTGTATGTATGCCAATGAAGTTACGTTTATTGTTTTTTTTTTTAATAAATTGACTTCTTTATGATCTTAAATATTAAAATGACAGAATCCTTTGTACCCATCGTTAGAACAAATAAAAGAAACTTAATCTTCGGGGCATTCCGGAAACCACAAAAAAAAAATACTAATACTAATACTACTTTCTGGGTGAACGTTTTACATAAATACAGATCAAATCATGAATTTACAACTCCAATAGAAGAAATTCAAAACAAAGATCAACTTGAAAAAGAACTTTGCCAGCTTGTATATTAATAATGATAAACTTTTTGATAATTCCAATCCAAATTTTAGCAAAAGGATGGGAGTAAGTATTTTATTATTATTATTATTATTATTATTATCAATGCATTATACCACAAACACATAAGGTGGCAAAATGCTCACACTGTTCCATATTTTGTCACGTTATTATTAAAATTATAAGATTGATAAACACCCAAGTTATGATAACAGAGAACAAACTGTAATTAAGAAAATATCATATAAAAACTGTAACTTTACTATAAATAATTAATATTTGCTTTATCTATTAATTACTAAACTAAAAATTTACTGTTATTATTACTATTAAAAAAATTATTTTCACATGTATGCCATAACTTCCATACTCTGAGTTTAAAAATGAATGCAATAATTGAAATTTCAGAATGCCAATTTTCATCGGCAGACATACAATAAATATCAATATTTTTGTTTCTTTAGGTCATATTGATTTTAATAATTTTAACGATCGAGCTTCTTAAAAATCTTATAACTTTGAAGCAAAAATTTAACGATGATGGTAATGATAATGCATCATCTTTGTTTAATTTTAGAAGCACAAAATAATAATAAGTACCATAAAGGCAATGTTTTTAATTTTAATTGTAATTGTTTCACTTTGTATTCACATAAACCTAATTGATGTTTTTTTTTTTTCAAAAATGAAAATGAATAATAATAAATAAAATTGTATTGGATAATTTTCAATCACATTTATTTCACAGGAAAAAAATAAAAAGGAAAGATGGATTCCTAAATCATTTTTTTGTAAAATGAAATAAACAAATAAATAAATTCAGCCATCATCCTACATAAAAATCTATTTTCCGGTTTTTTCATAAAAAAAAAAATTTTTCCAATTTTCTCGATTTTTTTAATTCTTCATAAAAAAAATGATTCTTTGTGCATTTTGTGGCAAGAAGGAAGTTTATATTGATCCCAAGACACGTAATGCTAGTAATTTTTGTGGTACCTCCTGTAGAACTCTAGCTGCACACAGTGGTAAACTATTTACATTAAATTCATTAAAGATCTTTTTATTTTGAAGGAAGAGCTTATCCATCAAAAAAGTTTAGCAATACTTTTGTTACTAATGTCACAATCATTAAATTGAAATAGGTCGGTTTCCACTATGTAATCAGTGCAAAATAAATCCAGCTATTAAACTAAACAATGTACTGCAGAAATATTGTAGTAATAAGTGTAAACAACAAGAAAATTCAAAATTATTACAACTGCAACAGCAAGAGCTAGAGCGACGGCGACAGCAACAGCAACTGCAACAGCAACAGCAACAATATATACTGCAACAGCAACAGCAACAGCAACAGCAACAATATATACTGCAACAGCAACAGCAACAATATCTACTGCGACAGCAACAGCAACAGCAATACCTACAGGAACAGCAACGGCTACAATTTCTACAGAAACAGCGGCAACAACAGATGCAGCAAGAGCTAGAGCGGCAATACATACAGAAACAACAACTGCAACCATATCCCCATATACAATCAATGTGTCATCAATGTAATCGAAAAGAACGTTGGTACGATCCAGCAAATCGTAGATTTTCTCTTTATTGTACTAAGAGTTGCAAAGAAAGGGCCGAAGGTTAGTTTTTTTAATGATATTATTATATTATTATTCACGAGTTTTAATTTTATTACTCTAATTTTTTTTACACAGGAGGATTGAGTCCACCAACATCACCAACATCACCAATACCACCAATATCACCAACATCACCAACATCACCAAATCCATCTCCTTACCAGTTTTTTCAGTTACCACACGAAAATATGTTAAAAATGCAACAAGAAATAGAACAATTGAAACGGCAACTCAATGAACAACAGAAAAACCCACAGCCAAAACAAGTAAAGAAAAAGAAACCAAAACAGCCGAAAGTAAATAATAATGATGATGGTGATGATGATAATCAGTTAGGAAAAAGGCAATCAAAATTCATACGACTAAAAGATGAGAAACCAGATTTTTTTATTATGGGTGCTGAAAAACCTTCTTCTACTATCACTCCTGCTGCTTCTTTAAATGATGGCCATAATTATGATAATTATCATGGTGATGATAATGATAATGATAATAATAATGATGATGATGATTATGATGATTATGATGATGATAATGATAATGATATTAATGATGATGTTGTTAATGATGATAATATTAATGATGACGATGATGCTAATGTTGATAATATTAATGATGACGATGATGTTAATAATTATCATGGTTATGATAATGATAATGATGGTGATGATAATGGTGATGATAGTGATGATGATGATAACGACGCTAACATTGATAATAATTTTTATAAAAATAGTAATAAAAATAAATATCCAACTGATAACAACGATTTTAATACTTTGCCATCTTTTTCATCATCATCATCATCATCATCATCGCAATATCATATGCCATCGTTTTCATCATTATCAAGATCACAGACATTACCAACTTCTCGCAACCGATATCATTTATCACAGACACGTAACTCTGAATATTTTGTAAGTAATAGTAAACCATACTCAAATTTGCAATTATCGAGTTCACAATCATTAACATCAAATTCACGATCATCGAATTCACGATCATCGAATTCACAATCATCAAATTCACAATCATCAATAGCAACATCAAATCCACAATCATCAATAGCAACATCAAATCCACAATCATCAATAGCAACATCAAATCCACAATCATCAATAGCAACATCAAATCCACAATCATCAATAGCAAATTCACGATCATCAACATCAAATTCACAATCATCAACATCAAATTCACAATCATCATCATCAAATTCACAATCATCATCATCAAATTCACAATCATCATCATCAAATTCACAATCATCGAATTCACAATCATCAGCATCAAATTCACAATCATCATCATCAAATTCACAATCATCATCATCAAATTCACAATTATCAACATCGGATTCACAATCATCATCATCAAATTCACAATCATCAACATCTGATTCACAATCATCATCATCATTGAAACAAAATCATCCAAATAAACAACAACAACTTGAACCAACTAGTCCGGCTATAGTAGCCCAACCAATCCCAAATCCACAAAATCCACAAATAAGTTCAAGCAGATCTCCTCAAAGAAACCCAAATCCTCAAAATACTCAAATCAGATTAAGCAAGTCGCCTCAACCAAATCATAGTTCACAACCAAGACCAAATAGTCAACCTCAACCAAAACCAAATAGACCACATAATCTACAACCAAATCAACCAACTCCATCATCTCCAACCACCTCTCCTTCATTAACTCCACCTATAACAACTCCACCTTCATTAAACCCATCTACAACAATTCCTTCTTCATTAACCCCATCTATAACAATTCCTTCTTCATTAACCCCGTCTATAACAACTTCCCCTTCATTAACCCCATTGTCTCTACAACTACAAAGAGTTTCAATTGATGAGTCTCAAGCATACGAAGAAGAACCACCTCCACCCTACGAACCTAATCCTAAGTTTGAATTTACTGGTCCTGATATTAAAGTGACTCGTAATGAATCGTATGATGATGGAATTGATCCTTATGTAGCTAGAAAACTAGCTCGTGAAAATCAAAATTAAAAATTAAAGAAATAAAAAAAAAGGAAGATGATGTGACGGTGTTTATTGTATTTTTTTGTATTATTATCATTATTATCATAAATATATGTATAAATAATTTTTACTATATTTTATTTATTTATCAATTAGGTTATTTATTTAACTTAATTTTTAATTTTATTTATTTCATTAAATAATAATAAATGTGAAAAGAATATGTAAATTAATTTTATTGTAATTTTATTAAATTAATTAAAAAAAAAGCTCTATATAATTGAAAATTGTTTTTATTATTTATAATTATTTTTATAATAATTATAATAATTATTGCATGATTCATATTACATTGATTGATTTTTTTTTTTATAATTAAATCTTTAGCAGTTGTAGTGTATGATATTTCTCTCATTATGAAATAATATATATTATATAAATTAAAAATAATAATCAATTAATTAGTTAATATAAATTAAATTTTCTAAATTTAACGATCAAAAAAAAAAAGAAAAAAGAGACAATGTGTATATGTGAAAGAGAAGAAATTATTCCTTTAAAAATTCTGACCCTCCCCCCAAAAAATACAAATATTGTAATAATAACAGTAATAATAATAATCATTATTGCTATTATCATTATCTATTACTACAAAATGCTATCCATTTTTGTGAAAACGTTTAATACAGCAGCCACGACTTCAATTTGTAAATCTTTACCTTCCGGAATATCTAATTTGATTTTTTTTGCAAATGGCCAAACTGAATATTCACTTAACATTTCATCAACTTTAACATAAGCTTTTTCTCTCATTTCCTGATTCAATTGAACTAATGCATTTTCTAATACGTTGGCTGCGTATGAAGCACATACCATAGATATAGTACGCAGTAAACTAAATGGTATATCTGGGTCTGATATTGAGGAAGTCGATGAGTGATTAAGATGTGTTAAAGTTTTAATTACTCTTTTTATAATTTCTTCTTTTGCTGTAGTATCGCTTACAGGATGTGTTGCCATATCAAATAGTAAAAAGTTGCGTTTCTCAGTTCTTAAAATTCCTTTGTCTACCAATCCTTTTGCTAATCGTTCCCTTACTTGTTTTAATTGATAACCAATTTTCATCACATTCCAAGTTTCTCCTATTAATTAGAAGCGTGAGAGGAAGGGAGGAATTAGAATTTAATAAAATTTATTCATTTATTTTTTTCCCCCAACATACACAAAAAGAGGTCAAAAAAAAAAAAACTCACCGCTCATTAAATCAATCCAACTTCCCACACTCATTATTTCACTAGATTTCATCATTTTTAATGCCTCATCCAACAACACTTCCCCTGTTAATTTTTCATCTACAACTTCAATATACCTATCTGAAAGAGGAAATTTACGACGAGCAGGATCTTTTATCATTGCTATTCTACCTCGAAAAGCAAGTTCCATAAGAATACAACCTCTAAGAGTATAAGATATATTATCATTCCAAAACGAAAGATAGCCCTGATTAAATATATATATATATATATATATAAATTTTTTTATCAATTATGTTTTCAATTGCATGTATTCGATTATGCAATGAAAAGAAGATTATAAAATATTCCCCTTTAATAAATCAAGTTTACTGAAAAAAATATAATTAAAAAACCTGTTTATCTTTTAAACCTAATAATAACACTTCTTCCATAAGTGTTAATTTTGGTTGTTTTTTATCTAATTCATCTGGCATATCATTTGGATCTACGGCTACTCTAACGCCACTTTCATTTGAAAGTGATCTTTCTAAATTTGTTGAAATATTGCCCTCAATTGATGATGAAGAATTATTAGAATTTATTCCTCCAGCAATTTTTCTCCTCTGTAAGCCACTTGCTGACATTTTTATAAATAAATGGTATATATGGGTCCACAATAGAAAGACTATTTATGATGTATATCTCACTCAAGATTTATAAATGAAACTAATGAAACTATTTATTTATTTATTTGTTTTTTTTGGTGTAAAATCTAAGAAAAAACAAAAAAAAATACAATTTTATTTATTTTTTTCTACTTTTTTAAAAAAAAATTTAGTGTTGTTACACGAAACATTAAATTTGTAGTTGGAAAATAAACCAATCAAACAATGTTTGTTGTCTTGGCAATATGGATAATAGTGATTTTTTAAATTTTGATGTAGAGGTTGATTCAATAGAACAACAATGGAATGCTACATATCAAAAATTAAATATAATTCAAGATGATTCAGACGTAGAAAGATTAATAAATACAACAAAGGTTTTTAAAAATCGCGGTTTTTTTCATGTTATTATTATAATCAATTAAAGATAATCTATTTTTTCAGGCATGGTCTTTGATTACATTATGGTTAGATCCTTTCAGATTTGATAAGAATGAAGAAGGTAATAATGTACCTACATTATGTGTATATATAAAGGCTTTGTATTTCGTTAAAATTTATCATAATTAACAAAAAGAAATTTTAATTTTATATATAGACTTTAAACAAATTCCTATAGTAATTAGAGATAGTTTGATTATTATTCAACGTACACCTTTAGCAACTCGCTTGGTTGAATGGTACATTGGTAATTGATTGTATAGAACGCGTAGATTGATTCTTTACAGCTATTAATTTTAATTACAATCATATATTAATATATGAATCAATAATAATTATAGATGCTGTCTGTCAACATTTTTCAAAAAATTTTGATGATAAATTGGAAAGATGGCGAGAAGATTGGTTGGCATGTGATTTTATGAAAATATTATTATATTTAAATAATTAATGATTAAAGACTTTTATAATGATATATATATATATAAATATATATTTATCATTGATCGATTGATTTAGTTTCTTTTAGAGCCTATTATTAGTGATGATGAATCAAACATTAATGATAAATTAGAAAATAAATTCTGTGAAGATTATTCAACGATAATCGGTGATATTTATATTCATTTTAAGAAATTTGAAGGTTTACTTTTAGAAATTTTTACTAGGTTTGATTTTGTTTGTTTTTAAAATGACATGGTGTTTTTTCTTTCATCAATAATAATATTGATAATAAAAAAAAATTTTTTTTTTGACAGCTCTGACACATTACAAAAATTTTATATTCAATATCATACACATTTATATTATTCATTGAGTGATAAGTTTCAGTCTATTTCAATTGTACCATCATTATTTAAAAATTTAACAAAAATTTTTATTGAAATATGTTTTCGGAAATTTGATCAATTAATAAGTCTTGGATTCACAAATATCAAGTCAATATATTCACTTTCATCAAAATTACCCAAAGCTTTACCTGGTAATAATGAACTTTTTGTTTGGAAAAGTAAGGATGACTTAAGTGTTATATCTGAAAAACAAGAATTGGATGTTTGTAATAATAATAATGATGATAACAATGGTGATCGGAATAAGAGTGATGGTGATGAGGATTATGATGATGAGGATAATGATGTTGATAAAATGGAAATTGTTGATGATGATAAAGATAATTATGATTCTCATGATAATGCGAAAAAAGAAGAAGAAGATGGATTAAATCAAAAGTATGCTGGAATTGGTGTTGACGACAACGATGAGAATAATGATCCAAATTCATTTAAGAATGAATTAATTAGTCAAATTGTTACATTTTCAAGTTTATGCAATAAAATGCATTCTTTGGGTTTAATACAACGTACAAAAGATGTTTTGGAGAATACATTGTGTGAACAGATTGAATCAAGGGTAGTAGATACTTGCAGAAACACATTTGATAAATCAATGCTTCGACGTACAACAAAATGGTTATATTCTGTTCTTTATCCTTGGTTACAGATTGTTATAACTCCTAATTTTTTAGATTTCAATATTTCAATAAAAGGTAATAAGAAAGATACGAATTTATTTATTATAGAAACAAAAACATACGATTTTTTTTAATTAACTTACATATTTAAGATGATATCAACGTTTGGGTTAAAAGACTTAATTATCACTTTTGCATGATTTTTTGCAATTCAAGGTATTTTTATTTATTTATTAAAGGATTTTTTTTTATATGCATAACAAATGGATAATATTAACAACAACGATAATATTGGTAGAATATCAGAATTATTCGATGTAATTGTTGATTTTCCTGAATCTAAAACTGCCATTAGTGATTTAGTTGTGCGTTAAATATATTCAATTTTTTTTTATTTTGTTTTAATTTTTTCATTTTAAGTAATATTTAAAAATAATATATTATGTGTAATATTATAGATATGCATGAAGAGATTAGATACAGATTATAAACATCGACTTGTTCAATCGCTACAAAATGCGTAAGTTTTATTTATAAACCCGATGCTCTGTCATATTATTATTTATATTTTTTGTTGCATATTATAAAAATATAACATTTTATATATTTATATATATAGATTTCGAAAAAGGTTACTTATTCCAGGTGCCAGTACAATGGATATAATAAATACGTATATGTCAACTGTTAAATGTTTAAGATTATTGGACCCTTCTGGCGTTTTATTAGAAAAAATCACTATTCCAATACGAAATTATTTACGGTAGAAGGCAATAAATAAATTATCATATTATTTAATTTAAAATCAAATCAAATCATTTAATAATTACAATCTAATAATTATATTAATAATGATAATAATTAATCAAAGGAAACAACGTGATGATGCAGCTCGTTGTTTAGTAAATAGTTGGATGGATGATAAAAATCCTAATTTTGAGCTGATTGATGAATTGGGACGTACTGAAATTCCCATAGAAAATCAAAATGATGATGAATACAATTTAGATGATGATGATAATTGGATACCGGATCCTGTGGATGCTGGACCTGGTTTGTCAAATTATATACAATCTGTATGGCTGATATTGATGGATTTTTTTACTCATCATTATTATTATTCATGCAACTTATATTTATTCTAAAATAGAATACAAATCATCAATATATCGATTAGCTGATATGACGAATTTACTTATTAGTTTATTCGATAATACAGAATTACTCACCGAAGAAATTCAAAGACAAATGGCAGAATGTCTATTATTAAAAACTGATTTTAATACTACAAAGGAGGTATTTAAATTAACAATATTTAATTAATAGATAACTATTTCCAACAACTAAAGTAATAAGCATTTATGATATATATATATATATATATATATACGCATCATTATCATAATCATCATTTTCAAAAAGCTAGCTAAACTCGAATTGTTTAAACTTCGATTTGGCGAATCTAAAATGTCAACTGTTGAAGTAATGGTTAAAGATATTTCAGATTCAAAAAGAATAAATGGAAATATTTATAATAATAATGAAAGATTAATTCGTAAAAATGCAGCCGAGTCATCAGATCTTGAAATAATTTTAAATAATGAAAATGTAAATATACCTGTGTTTATTTATATTTATGAACGAAGCTCATCATTAATTTAATTTACTATAGGAAATTTTATATACTTCCATTCTTTCAAGATTATTTTGGCCAACTATTAATAATGAAGAATTTGAAGTTCCGCCTCCAATATCTGAGTATGTTATAATTTTTATATTCCTAAATAGTATTTATATATTTATTTTCATAACTGTAATAAATTTATTTACTTTAGTGAAATGAAAACTTATAATAATGCCTTTCAAAGTTTAAAACCAAGAAGAAAACTTAATTGGTTACCTTCACTCGGCAAAGTTCAATTGGAATTGGAATTTCAAGGGAAAACACTTGAAATGGAAGTAGAACCGGTTCATGCAACAATTATATACCATTTTCAAGAAAAAGGTATATTCAAGTATATTATTTAAATGCTATACATATATATATATATATATATATTAATATATTATATTATTTATTTAATTAGATACATGGAAATTGGATGATTTGGCAAAACAGATGAAATATGATCCACAAAAACTTAAATATAAAATGGAATTTTGGACAGATCGTGGTATATTAGGAAAGAAATCTAAAGACGAATGGGTTCTTTTAGAGATGGAAACAAAGGCATCATCAACAAATATCTAGAAAAAAAATTTTGCAATTTTTTATCTATAATAAATAAAAGCCTTTTATTTTATAATATTTTTTGTGTATGGTGTTTTTATTTGTTTTACAATTGCATTCGAACTTGTTAATTCATCACCTTCATCTTCTTGATCATGGACAAAGACCAAACCAAAGACATGAGGATTAAATTTCAATTTTTTTTGATTGATTTAATTGATTATTAATGAATGTATCATGTTATTTTTAAACAATCCATTCGTTCAAGCAACATATATACAATAATATATATTTAAAAACCCTTTTTCCAAGTAAAAAGAAACAAATCTTGCTTTTTTAAACAACTTTATTTTCTTTCAATATTTGGCCAAAAATTTTTTCATGTGCCCATCACTACTATATACTACACTACGTAAGAAATCAACGAAATCTAATCCGGTGCAACATTCAATCTTTATTTCAGGGTGGATTCTTTTAAAATGATTTAATGCTTTTTGGTAATAACTTTATCTATAAAAGGAATTTGCAGTTTCACGAAGTTTGTTGCGTTGTGATATATACTCTACGAATACTCTATGAATGATCATGAAGACAAAAAAATGCATTATTGTCTTTATGTCTACTATACCGAGGTAAAATCGTTATATTTTAACTATTACCTTTTTGACCAATGAAAGAGATATTACTTCAAACAATAAACCATTACTTTTTCGGTTAACAAGACTAATTTCTTTGATAATAAAGAACTATTACTTTTCCGATTAATTAATGAATGAGCATCATTACTTTTTTGATCAACTTGAAAGAACTATTGCTTTTTCGATTATTTTTTAATTGATAAGATATATGATCGTCTACCTCCACCACCTTCACACATTCCCTCATATATATTTTCACCAATACTATTATTATATTAAGGCAAGTTTCTTTATTTTCTCAGAGAAATACGATACCTTAAAGTTTATTTGTGTCTTCTATTCGGTCATGGAACATGTGGGGCTACCCTTCCTCGGATTCAAATATTCACATCCATACAATATGGGTATTTCTGTTGAAGGTCGACAAATGCAACGTCGCATCATGACTGAGCTGGGATGCTTATAAATGGTATTGGTTTCTCTCATTATCTATGTTTCTGAAAGACCAAATAACGATGAAACAGATAATGGAATTCTTGTTATATTGATTGATATATCTTTCTTGTTCGCTGTGATCGACGTTACACGTCCCTTTATTTTGTCACAGGTCACAACGCTAAATACTTTTTAATAAAATGAAAGGCGTATCTATCTACTGGAAGGTTTGTAGAGGATTCACATCTGCGCCATAGTTTTATTCTAGATTCAGATGATTATTTCTATGCAAATGAAGAAATCCGTAATTATAAAAGAACATGAGCTTCTGAAAATCCCGAAAGATCATGATTGACCATTTGCAAAAAACAAAACAGATGATCTTTGACAAATAATAATGATGCAATTTAGACAACTAATGTTCCTCAAATAGAATAGATGAATTTTGCGATGCACACTATCATTAAGGGATATGAATCTGGATTACCGTCTAGAGCAATGATATAATGACAATTTGTGAGGACTCATCTTAGATCAATGCTTTCCAGATATCGTGGATATGGAAGAAGTTCGTGAAGAGTCCTCTAGTTCGCCATCTGGATCAGGTCATACAGTTCCTGGTAGCAGACAATTAATTGGCTAAATGGAAAAGCAGATTTGATACTACGTTTTTTTTTCAGATTTGAGATTTGGCCTGGACGTTTATAAGTGTTAAAAGGAAACAAAATGGATTTTTGAAAGTGGTTCTAATTACTAAAGCTATTAAAAAGACATACATTTTTACCCAACTAGCTGCTGAAGTAGATCTGTTGGAAAAAGTTCAACGTAAATTATTACCTGCTAGATTTGTACATGGTGATAAGCAAAATATACATAGTCTCTCATTGTTTTGCTATTTGGTTAGTTTGCAAGCTCTTCACCTTTTAAATGTCGTTACTAGCCCATATAGTTACATTCGTACCCTTTCACTTGGTTTTCGTCTTCTTGATGCTCAATAATATTCAATTATTATTTATCGTGATTATGTTAAATATAATAATTAAGGCTTTTATAAATTTATGATGATGATGATGGTGATGATGATGACAACGATAAAAACAAATATAACATATAAAAAATTTTAAATTTTAAATCTTATTATTTTGACATTAACGAATACTTAAATAAATAAATTATAAATATATTTATATTTAATTTATTTTAATTTTTCAAAAGATTTTCAATGATTGGTTTAACTTTTCCATATACAACGTCAACTCCATCAGTACAAGGAATCTAATTAATTATCAATAAATGTATTAATAATTATTGTATTATTTGCAATCAATTATCATACTTTACTTACTGAATACACTTTATTCAATGTTTTATAATGTTCAACTACAGGATAGCTTGTTTCTACAAAAGTTTTGAATCTTTTTTTAATAGAATCAATATTATCATCAACACGACCACTGGTTTCAGCACGTTTTAAAAGACGTTCAAGCATAACTTCTTCTGGGCAATCGAAAAATAGCACACAAGTAGGCACACATACCTAAAAATGTTTGGTTAATTTATTGATTTATCATCATAAATATGATTTTTTGATGAAATAATTTAAATAATGAATTCGTTCATTTATCCTTACATCTTTTTCAAATTGTAAAGCTTGGTCCATTTTTCTAGGAAATCCATCAATCAAAAATCGATCAGATTCATTCATGATAATGGCTTTTTCAAGCAAAGCTATAGTGATTTCCATACGAACTATAAGTCCTTCTTTCATACATTTATTAATCTCTTCGCCATATTGAGAGCCTTCACGATCTCTTTCTTCACGTAATAAATCACCAGCTTTTTTTTTACAGAAAAAATCATAAGATTTTTTTTAATTAAATTTACCTTAACTCCTTCCTCTAATTAAATTATCATGCAATTAATTAACCAATCATAGATTTTTATTTACCAGATAAATGTACAAATCCAAAGTCCTCTACTAGTTTTGCACATTGGGTTCCTTTACCAGAGCCTGGTCCACCTATACTTATTATTATTATACCAAATATTATTACGAAATCTAATTCACGTAATTTAATAGTGTTAAAATAATATATTACCCAACACAAAAGCCAAAAATATTTTATCAGAGACTTTTGTACTTTGACTCATTTTTCTTAATATTAAATATATAAATATTAAATATTAGAATTAAAAAAAAATTTTTTGTTGCTAGAAAGTGTTATTTTATAGCGAATGTATGGTACAAACATTTTTGTAGAGCGCACAAAAATTTTCAAAAAGAAAAATTACGGATTTTGTCTTTTATGTGAAACAAAAAATTTTTGACAAAATTAATTCCTTAAGGTATACATTGAAAAGCCTTTTGACTGCCGCAACATCCACAAGTTTTACTAGTATATTCTTCAGTGCGGATGACCACATGTGTCAAGGATACTCGCGAGATTTATGAACCAAATGACTTTTAAATCAGTAATGTGACCAGATTTGTAATTTTAGATTGGATTTTTCTAAAACTGCCGTCGTTTAACCATGTATTATATTTTAAACCCTGGGTGTAAAACTACACATAGTCATTTTACTAATTTACAATAGCATTCATACACATGATTATGAATTTTTCTGTGGATTCGGAGCATGCTTATATCGTTTTGCATGAATAGAATCCCTTTCACTACATTATGGTGATAGTATAAGCGATTTATTTTACTCATATAATCTTTTCCCCATCTATAACCTCACCAAATGGGTTATATCCAATCGTAAAAGTTTTCAATATTGGATCAAGAAATGATTACGGCATTCCTATTCTCTTCAACTGCGGAACTTGATTGTCAAACCTTAATTCAAATGCATAAATATAATTCAACATGACGATTAATGATAATGATTTATTTTTCTCATTTGATTTAATACTAATGAAGATTTCCTCTAGGATTGCATTTTATCTTTTTTAAATCCAAGTTTCAATTTTATAATTTCTTTTTTGCAGCCATGTTTGATTTATGTTAATTTAATAGGTCATTCAATTCTGCATCTCTAATACAATCAAGAACCCATTTTGATGTTAATTAGAGTCATTAGATGTAAATTTTTCAGAATTTAATGATATAATTTTTTCATAAATAATTTTTACTAATTGCAGCCATACTGGAGATTTTTTAGAAGATGATGAATTGCATCTACATTCATAAAAAATGATGATGGGGAAGAAGTTAATTTCTTCATTTACAGAAGAAGAAATGACATCTTCTTTGTAACTCATGACATAAGAACTATGGATTCAAGTCATTTATATAAAATTTGAAGATTCTTCTAATTTAAGTAATGATATTTCCTTATTTGGAAGGATTTCTGTAACACGAAAATTTTTAAGCTGATCAGCCTTTTAGGAAATCAAAAGAATCATTCCGAAATTTTACAATTTACAATTTACATATATACATATATAAAATGGCCTAACTTTGAAGCGTTATAACTCAAAACTTTTCTAATAAAATGAAAAAAGTAAGCTGTTGGAAATGAAGCTTAGTTATTTAGCTTTAATTCTATCGGTTTACTTTTTCCTTTTCAATAAGGAGTTATAAGCTTTTAAAGTTATGTAATAATCATTGACCGTTATAAATGTCCTGCACTATAGTGTTATCCCATTGACTTGAGCCCAGCGATTCACTATTATTTGCCAACACCAAATTTGCGAGTATTTGAATGAAACCCAGAATGGCTTAGGTTTATATAATGATGATGGGTTACAGTCAACAGAGGAATGATTGCATATAATTATAATCCGGGGTCCTGGATGTACAAGTAGTTTGGGATTTGAGATTTTTCTGTTTTTTCAGTATTAAATGCATTTATGACCCGACTGGTTTCTATATCATTTTCATATTTTTAGGTACAGGGAAGCGTATCAAAATGCGTTTTTCTAATGCACTCCATATCAAAAATACGATTCTCCCATATGTATTCATTCAGTACAGTACCTATTCTGTACATAATTTTTATAGGGACATAGATTTGTTGAAATGAAGTTTGACTGTAGAACACTTCTCTGACAGTGAACTTTCACTTTTGAAAATTATACATGTACTCCGTACTATTCAGTATAGATACTAGTTCATTTTTCGTATTAGTATTATCATGTATTCAGTACTAGTTATAGGATGGAATGAATGCATAAGAAAATTGTATTTAAAATCGCGTTTCAACGAATTTTATATGTGAAGCAGAATCAATAATTCGTTGAAACAAGATTTGCTGAAATAAAGATTAATTTATTTATATGAGTATATATCGATTCTAATGTTATTATTTATAAGATTTGGAACGTGTTGAATTATGAATTACCGTATGTTTCAATACAATTATTATATTAATATATATTTTCATAATATAAAAGCCATCAAATAAATAACTATTTTTTAGATTTATTTACATGGATAAAATAGCAAATAATTAATAATATACATTATGTATATTATACCTCTTGCTTAACAATATATATATATGCCATTTTTAATCAATTTCTAGATCCGAAATATCAGTATTATTATCACTCAAGAAATCTAATGTTGGTGAAATTACTATCAAAGGAATTTTTTCTGAATGACGTTGTCTATTTTTTCTATGAGTTGTTATTACATTCTTTTTATTTTCTGATGCATTGATAATAGGTGGTGTGGTATCTATGGCTGAGCTAATGAATTTGCTGTGCATCTTAGAGTCAATAAACATTGGCATACTAATCAAATTTGAAGAAGCTTGAGTTTCAAATGAAGAATTAGTGAATTGAGTTTGAGCTTGAGTATAATTAAGTGAAGAGCTTAATAAAGATTGTGATTCAAGTGATGGTTGTGCTAGAGTTGAAACTGGGATTGAAGTTCCAATTGAATTTCTTGTTGAAATTTTATTTGAAGTTATGGGTTTATAATTAGATTGGATTAAAGTTGTAGAATAAGTTTGTGTCACGTTTGTGGTTGTAAACGGGATTGCAGAATTAATTGAAATTTTATTATCAGTTGAGATTGTGGTTGTGGCAGGTCTTACAACTGGAATTATTGTTCTGGTTTCGCTTGTAGATAATGTAGTGGTAGCAGTGGTTTTTGCGGTTTCAAATATACATGGCACAGCAATCAGAGTTGGGGTTGTGATGGTACTAGTAGGTTTGGGTGGTGGGGTTGAGGTTGTGGTTGTATTAGTAGGCTTTGTTACAAACTTAATTACAGGAAATGTAGTTGGAGTTGTAGGTTTTGATGTATTTGCATGTATGCTTGAAGCATTGGATGGTGTGTATGTTGAAGTTGAGTTTGTGATAATATTAATGGGTTTTATAATAGATGAGGTGGCTGTCGGATTTAGAGGTGCAGTGGTACTAGTAGGTTTGGGTGGTGGAGCCATTGGAGTTGAGGTTGTGATGGTACTAGCAGGTCTCGTTACGAATTTAATTATAGGAAATCTAGGAGTTGTAGATTTTGATGTATTTGCATGTATACTTGAAGCATTGGATGGTGTGGATGTTGAAGTTGAGTTTGTGATAATATTAATGGGTTTTATAATAGATGAGATAGCTGTCAAATTTAGAGGTGCGGTGGTACTAGTAGGTTTGGGTGGTGGAGCCATTGGGGTTGAGGTTGTGATAGTACTAGCAGGTCTCGTTACGAATTTAATTATAGGAAATCTAGTTGGAGTTGTAGATTTTGATGCATTTGCATGTGCACTTGAAGCTTTGGATGGTGTGGATGTTGAAGTTGAGTTTGTGATAATATTAGTGGGTTTTATAATAGATGAAGTAGCCGTTGGATTTAGAGGGGTGATGGTACTATGTTTTTGTGGTGGGGCCATTGGAGTTGAGGTTGTGATGGTACTAGTATGTTTTTGTGGTAGAGCCATTGGGGTTGATGTTGTGATGGTACTAGTAGGCTTCGTTACAAATTTAATTATAGGAAATGCAGTTGGAGTTGTAGATTTTGATGTACTTGCAGGTGTACTTGAAGCTTTGGACGGCGTTGAAATTGAAGTTGTGATAGTATTAGTAGGTTTTATGATTGATGAAGTTATATGTGTGATGGCACTAGCAGGTTTTGGTGGTGAAGTGATTGGAGTTGAGGTTGTGGTTGTATTAGTAGGTTTTGTTACAAATTTAATTACAGGAAATCTAGTTGGAGTTGTAGATTTTGATGGACTTGCAGATGTGCTTGAAGCTTTAGACGATGTAGATGTTGAATTTGAGTTTGTGATAGTATTAATGGGTTTTGATGTACCTGTATGAATATTTGAATATTTAAATGGTGTAAGCATTGGAGATAGTGTTGTGGTTTCATTTGTAGATTTTGTTGGACTTGTGAATTGAGATAAAGTATAAGGAGAAGAACCAGTAGTATAGAATGTGGATGCAGGTGTGTTAGGTGATGAATGAATGTTATATGAGCTAAATTTACTTGTACTGGAAATTGGTGAAGTCTCACAATTTGTCATAGGAGTATTATTATTATTGTCATAATTATCATTAAATGTATTCTCATTGACTTTCACTTTTTTTGCAGCTGGCTTAAATTCATAATATATATGATTTATATCAGGTGCTTTGAGGGGAAAAGGTATTGAACGCCTTGCTGTTTGTTTAGGCATGTTCTTGTGTTCAATTATTGATTGTTTCCTTTTATTTACTTTTTTTTTAACAGTTGCACTCTCAGCAGTAATGCTATTCAATGATTGTTCATTACTATAATTATCAATGTTATTATTATTATAATTTTCTAAAGATGTATTTGTTTCAGAGTTTTTATCTAAAAGTTCCTGTGGCTTTCCATTACAATATTTACAAATACAAGGAACATTTCTATCTGATGCAATATATATTGCATGTGGTATAAACTCATTAGGTGATCTGAATCGATGTTTACCACCTGATTGAATAAAAGTGTAGTCATTAAAATTTAATTTTTCTTGAAAAAAAAAAAAAAAAAAAGTGATTATGTATGATATATCACCATAAAGATAAGTATCTCTTCTGGTATCTTTATTTTTATATTCTTTTATATGTTCATATAATGAGTAACCTTCAGGAATTTCTAACAATGTAGCTAAAAGATTTTTATAAAATAGATTTAATTTTTTTTTGAATGATGTAAAAATAGAAAATAAATTTATATAACACAATAATATATATACATTCTATCATCATATCTTTAAATTCATCAAAACTTTTCAACCATTTTTCTAACCCTTTACCAACTTTTGTTTTCCATAATATTGCCTTGCTATCATCATGTGTTACAAGTCTAAAATGGGCTTTAGCTCCACTTTCATCAATTATTGGGACTTCATTTATTTCATAGTTTGATGATGAACCATCACTTACAAGTAATTTTAAACCATCATTTGGTAAAACGCGAATTTTTTGGGGGTCATAATTGTAATTCATCTGTTTATTTTTTATAAACAAATTAACAAAAATTTTTTTTTTAAATATGAAATATTTTATGTAATCGGAATGTATACACATGTTCTCTCAACAAATTAGTAACAGTAAGTTATTTATGTTGCACCAGCTTATGTAACCAATAGCAATTATCAATATTTGGGACCAGTAATTTTTTGGATTGTAAAATTGGCATTTTCCTATTGGTTTATTGCGTTGTTGTAGAGTAATATTTTGTTTAGTTTTAGATCATTGTTCAACAGAACAAATACACATTATACAAGTTACAATTAATGCAGTTGATTCAAGTTATGTTATTTAAAGTAAATGAAGATGAAGGTAGAAAGAAAAAGTCTGTTCTTCCTGTCAGAACCCTAAACAAGTTGAAATTTTCTAACCGTATGCACTAGCGGTCAAAACCACCATTCAAGATATTGAATTTAAGCAAGATAAAAATCAAAATATTTAGGATTAAGAAATGGGACTGGGGTTGAAAATGGGAGGGTGAATTGTACCAATTTACTCAATTTTCATTCATTGCCCATTAAATAACATACACAACTAGTTAAATAATTTATATATTCAGGGTTGTGCAATTTCGATGTATGAGAAGAATCTTCGTACGTACGTACGACTGACTTCGTACCATTGAGTTCGTACAGTTTCGTTGTGGTCGTACACCTGTACGAGGAAATTTTACATATGTACGTACGTACGTACGTACGAATGTACGATGTATCAGGAACGATGATTTTCTGCGGTGGCAAAATATTACTTTGTAAAATCCTATAATAATAATATTATTATTAAGCCGATAACACTATTATATAATTAATGGATTACCAGATGTTGTAACTGGGGTCGTAATACTATTTCATTATCAGAAAAAACCTGATTATCATGTTATATATGCTTATTTAAATCCCTTGTATATTATTTACGTTATTATTATAGTCAGCGTTGTTGTACGAACGTACGATGATTTTCTGTGGTTATTTTATAATAATATTATGCTGTCAGCCTATTACTATTACAATTACTATAATTAAAGGTCGTAACAGATCGTAATACTACTTCGTTATCAGAAAAACCCTGATTATCATATTATATTTACATTATCCTGGGTGCATTATTGTTAGTAGTATTAGTAGTATTAGTAGTATTATTATTACGTGATTCCTAAATTTTTTTTCTATTTATTTATAATGAAATAAAAAAATTATCTTTACATTCTTGTTAATTATATTATCAATTCAAAATAATTAATAGTAGTATCAAATATCTTCAATCATATACAGTATGTAGTTAATTCCACAATATAGTCAAACCTTGCCACAGCGGATGAACGGTAACATAAACAAATTTTATTTAAAATCCGTTGTGGAAAGATTACTAAATACTAATACTAATCTTGCCACAGCAGATTTTTATGTGTTTTTACATGTGATATGCGAAGAAAATTTTTTAAAAATCCGTTATGACAAGAGTTTGATTATTATTATAGTTCGCTGTGATATATATTACATTTGATCAACCAAATAAAATTATCATAAATCACATAATATGTTCGTACAATGTAAAGCCACCGTATGCCCGTGACTTTCACGTGATTTTATGCATTGTTAATCGTGTAATCTTAGAAAATTTTACAATTCTAGCTTTGCTTAATTTCCAAAATCTCAATTTTTAATTGTGTCTTGACTCAATTACTTATATGCTTTTCATATGACTTAATTAATTGCACCAAAAAGTTTCCCAATTGAGTCAAGTGTAAGCGTGTTGGCTTTCTTAATAATGGTGAAATAGTTTTTCATAAATGCTGAAATTAATTTTATTAGTTGCCAAAATTATATCTGAAATTATTTAGACTCTTTAATTAAATACTAAAAGGCTGGGTAGATTTTGTATGTCTATTGATACAAAGGATATTGTAAATCCAAAATTGATTTTTTCAAAAACCATTTTGGCTAATATTCTTATCAACCTATTTCTATCATAGTTAACAAGTTTGGAAATTGTCCATACAATGAACAAAACATTTCTCTGAGGCTTGCTTTATAAACATGATCACGGAGATATAATGGAGTGTCATCTTTTACAGGGTATGTGTGAATCATACGGAATGGATGGATTAGTATTTAACGGTACTGGTAGAAAAATTAAAATCTACTCCATGTCGTTTCCGTATTAGCATGTTTTAGTATTATTGGGTGCAGGAAAGTTCATTTTTTCGTGGATATTCCGTATTCGTATTCGTATTAGTATTATTAGTATGCATCCAGCACTAGTACTTATTCTGTGCATAATTTTTTATTATTATAGAACGCATAAGAAAATTGCATTTAAAATCGGCAAAAAATTTTAAATATGTATTTAATATTTGTTTGAAACAAAAAAAATTTCATTATTTATAGTGTATTAGATAATATATTAATATATCAAATCAAATCAAAACAAACCATGTTTCTTTACTGATTCGATTCGAATTTCATTGATTCGTTCAGAGCATGTAGATGATGACGGGGATAGTTGTTTTGCTGACCCAACTAAAGTGTTGGGAACGCTTTGCTTGCTAAGTAAAACAAATGATTATTCCTCGATAATAAACATGCTGCAAACTTGCAAGGTAACTTTGTCAATTTCCTTGCTTTCTGGGACAATTTCTCCTAAACTTTCATGGTTTTTACCTGTAGCTTCTTATAACCTGTGTGTGCTATTCATTTGGAAAAATCTTGTTAATCATTATAATTTTTTTTTTCTTTTGAATTGCTTTTTCATCCCCCCCAAAAAAATAACACGGCTGCATCTACACAGTGAGTCTCGATTTAACGAACATATTTGTGATTAGAAAAGATGAATATTAATTTAATTTTTAATTTTTTTCTTTGTAACTTTTATATATAATTTTTATATTTGATAATATTCAAATCAAAAAAAAAAAAATTCATATGCAATTATTTAATTTTTTTATATACTTGTGCTAAAATTTTCATTCAATCGAATAAAAAACAACGTGTTTTTCATTTAATTTTTATTTTAAATAAATATAACGTCAAGCATTTCATAAATATTTAAGAAAATTGATTATTGTGTTTGTTTTGATTATTGTTTGTTTTTTGATGCAATTTTCCCTTTTCTTGATGGATTTTCTTTCCTAACTTTATCCAATCGTTCTCGAATGACTTTATCATACCAATTAGCATAAACTTCTCGATTATAAAGCGCCAATATGAAGATCTTTCGACTAAATAAACGGATAAAATAAATAACATTCGCAATTACCATCATTAAACATCATCATATGTATATCGTCATTAAATGTATTAATACAAGTTACAAACCTGAGTTGTTCCAATTCTTTAGCAACAGGAAGAACGCCATATTGAGATAAAGTTTCCTTTTTCGGAAATTGTCCCGTTTGAAGATGTTGCTTGATTATACTTTGGATCCTACGCGAAAGAAGCGAAAAGACTTTATCCGACTGGGAGAGAGTTTTGGAAACCATGGATTTGACAAGTGATTGGGTTTCAGATGAAATGTTCGATGGGAAATGTGACAAAATTTCAGTTGTCAAATTGTCCATTTTTATGTCACGATCCATCAATAATACAAAAAGATTATTTTTCAATGTCTCAAGTTCCCCTTCGCTAATTGAATTTGCAGAGGAACCGATGGCAATGTTCTTAGTCAACATAAGCAATACGGCTACAATGGTGATTGCTTGACCTTCATTTTGGAAACCCCAAAGTCTTTCTGTATCCAACAAGAAAGTTTCAGGACAATTATTTTTTTCAATTAATGCTTGCTGGAAAATATACGAGACCAGAGCTTCGTCATATACTTGAGCAAACTTGATACCATGATTACGTTGATTTGGCAACAAGACATTTTCAGGATTGCGCTCAGCCACTGTACGAAGAAGTGAATCGATGGTTGGTTGTAGCCAAATTTTTGTTCGCTCAAGACTCAACCGATTCGACTCTAGAGCCTGTTCAAATTTACGTCTTTCATAATCAACAGCATGTTCTTTCAGATAAGGTCTATGTGCTTTCAGACGGTAATTTGCGAGGTCCAGCCTCATCAAATCTAGGATTTCTAACAGTCTTTGGAAAATTTCTGAAAGCTCGGTCATGTTTTGGAGTGATTGAATTTGTTCATCACGAACTGGTGCGCAGATTTGTAACATCATATTAGTAATAAACATAATACAATTACGTATATTATATACACCTGCTTTACTCTGCTGAGTAATCAATTCAATATCAAGTACTTCATTTACAGATGAATACATTGGTGAATTAGGCGGCATCAATTCAACAAGTCTCTGTTGTAAATTATTATTACGATTCGTTTAAAAAAAAAATCAATATATATCTTGAAGTTTCACAACATGATAATGCCAATTTTAAGGAAATAAATTTTACCTGTTTAATATCATTTAAAAGATTAGGCATACACCGATCAAATTTACCCTTTTCAAAATCTTCTTTTATAGAATCAAAATAAGCCTTTTTAGCCATTTTATGAACACGTTCTTCCAATCCGGACAACTTTGATGGTTTCAACTCAAATTCAGGATCAATAATAATTTCGTGAATAAGTTGCTCATTTGTCAATCCTCCTGCATCAGTTGGTATCTCATAACTTTCAATAAGGTGTTGAAGTTCTGCATTAATATTAGATTTCGATGATGATGATGATGGTGATGAGGTAGTGACAGACCTTGACTTAGTTCCCGAGGAAAATGATTTTTTAGATACCTTAGCTTGCAGATTAGGTGGAACAAATGGTTGTCTTGGAGGTGCACCCAATTTATTGTCGTCATCATCTTGTTCATCACTTTCTTGATCAGTGGTCATACCATTCACAGAATCAGAAGTATCGGTATCACTATTATTACTAGCACCACTTTGTGAATTTTCTTTTAAACGTTTAAGTGTTCTTTCCAACTTAGCAGTTGCTTCATCACCACCTAAATTTTTAATCTTTCTTCTAATCTCTTCTTGTTGATAAATAATATTGTTTTTCCATTCAGTTTCGGCATTGGCTTGGTTCTTGACTGTGTTCCATAGTTTTTCTAATTCCATATAATGCGCAATCAAATTGTTGGCTAGTTTTTCAGAATCTTTTGATTTCCATAGATTAAAATCTTTGTAGTAAGTGTCCCATGCTGAAAGGAAATTAAGAAGCCCGTTGTAATGTATTTTATTATGCTTGTCATTACTAAAGGAATTGAGCCATTTTTCTAATGAATTCACCATAACTTTAGTTGATTTCAAAAGAGTCTAAAAAAAAACAAATGCATAGGTGTAAGTATGTAGGTATGCATATATATTTTTCAAGGACAAAATTATCTCAATTGTACATACTCTCTCATAGTATCCAATATCAATGAGGATTTCTTTTGTATGTGATACAATCATGTAGGCACTTAGGAAAACTTTTGCAGGATTTTTATATTTACCAGTTCCCATGGTCATTCGAGAAACTTTGGTGACTCTCTGCAGGAATTTACTAGTGGTTTGAATAACAGCAGGTTTTTGTAATAATTGGACAGTGTTATGAAAAGTCATGTTTTCAGTGGTATGAAGTGAAATATCAAAGCTACGATAAGTTTCAATAATCCTGATGAGTTTATGATAGCGCCAAGCATTTTGAATGATCGATGCAGCTTCTTCACGAGTGGGTGGACTAGTATCATCACTAGAGAGTAGACGTGATTTAGGAACCGTGAGAAGTCTAGCACGACGAGCAGCAGTAGCACGTTGTCGACGTTCCATATCAGCGCGACGTCTATCAATTTCTTCTTGATTCTTGAGTTGTTGTTGACGAGCAACTTCTTTGCACCTGGCAACTTCTTGAGCACATTGTTCTACTAAACGTTGGAGAATGGTATTTCTGTTTTTTTCAGCCATTTTCAAAGTTTCTTGAATGTGGGAGCGTTTAGCTGAGGAATCATGAAGAGCTCGTTGATGTTGTTTAACGAGAACATTTTTCACATGTAAAAACTGACGAGCCAATTTAAGACGTCTTTGTTCAAGCAAGGCTGCTTTTTTAAGTTGAGCTTCCTCTGTTGAATAATGAAACAATTTGTTGTTGTTAATGTTATTATTGTGATTACGATCGTGACAATGAACGTGTGAAGAATTAGATTTTTTAGATTTCATTCTTCTTTCAAGATGAAATGGTCTCTTGCTTGCATGATGAAGAGGCAAAACATCAATAACATAAAAACCAGAGTCAGTTTTATGCATCGTAAAACAGTGTGTCTGCGAATGCACTTACTGTTAATTAATGGTAATTAAATAAAAAAGATTTTCAAATAAACAAGTTAGATTATAAATATTTATTAATCATTTTTTATTTTAAATTTTTTTATTTCTAAATATGTGATTATAATTTTCAATTCTCACCTTCAAATAATAATAAATGGTATATAGTAATAAATAACAATAGCAATAATTATAAAAAAGTCTAATGGTAAGAATTAAAAAGATTTGTAATGAAGCATTTTCGTAAAATTAGAAAGCTTATTTGCAATGAAACATTATTCACAAAATTAGAAAGCTTATTTCAAATGAAAAGGTTACCTTACTAATTCAGTCTTAAAAGAAATATTTGACACGCAAACTGAGTTTTTAACTACTAAAATAAAGGAATTTCTAATACTAAAGAAAATATTTCACCAAATTTACAAAAAAAAAAAAAAAGAGAATAGAGTAATGATAAATATTTTTTACAAAGATTTTTTTATTATAAATTCTTGACAGTTTGAAGAATTGGTCATTTTATCCTGGCGTGGTACGATTAGTATACATTTGATTAATCAATTATTATTAATATGGAATATCATATTAACTAATTTTACCATATTAATATTATTATTATTACTATAACAAGTGTTACCATACTAATATATAAATATTAAAATCGGGCTGAAGATCTAGTCCCTATAGCTAATTGTAAGCCATAATCACTGTGCATACCCTGCCACAATTAAAATGACATCAGAGGTGAATCCTAACCCAGGAAAGTTCCCTTATAAACGGATATTGCAAGTAATGTGTAAAAAGTTCCTAATATTACATGGCAGCATCCACATCTCAATTCCAATGTAGATAGACTGATATGCAGACTCTGATAGATCAAAATCTTGACGCATATCAACCACCCATCACACAAGGAACAGACCGAAGATTTCGGAACTCATCAATGTGCAGTGTTTAGAAAGTTCATGGTGGAGTTGCTTGATTGGGCTCACGTGTTATTTACATCGCCCAATTCTGCTACTGTTCTAGCATTACCATCTTGCACGAACATCAAAGGTCTTTTTTGTTTGTTGATCTTTGATTTTCCATCACAAACGACGCCAGCGACGTTCAAGATAAAATGGACACAAGAGAAGTAAGAACCATATTCATAGACATTAGCGACAGTAGATGTTGGGGTTCCCAAGTTTTATTAGGTGATGAAGATTATGTAAGTAATATGATTAAAAGATATATATTCATTGTGCAGAATATGCATTTATTGTTTACTCATTCTACAATACTAGGTTTTTAAAAATAGGACGAAGTTTGAGCAATACATGATCAGATGGAAGTTTGATTCTAGTATGATATTGACAACAGCAATAATAATTAATGGATAATAATGATTTTAATTTTTATTCACCCAAAGAAATCAGTAGTCTTGAAGGTAATAAAAAGGTTGAAAACCATTCTAATATTGATCATGTATCAATGGAACTTCCATAAACAAAGCAGGTCGTGGTAGAGGAAACGATAATAGTAGAGGCAAAGATAGTGGTGAAGCTAGAGGTAGGGTTACGGTAACAATGGTGTTAGAGGTGGTTAGATAAATGAATAAAATCTACATTTATTTTTTAATATAAATTTTATCTTGATAGGAAACGATGATCTTTGCTCTTTTGGCTATTATTTTTATAGATTGCGCGTAATAATGCACGATTAATAAATAATGTGTTACTATTATTATTATTATATATAATAACATATGATGGTGATGTTATTAATGTATAATAACGTATGTTAATTAATCTAAAATAAGTGTGTAAATAGACAGTTATATAATTATAAATAATAATAATATTGTGAGATTGTATGCGGGTTAATTCCAACATTGTTTTCATATTTTTTTATTAATATTTTTTAATGCGGACTATGTCAAAAGATTAAAAAGTGAAATTTCTTTATAAAATTCTCGAGAACAAATACAAACAAGAATAGAAGATTATTGTAATGATAATGTTAACATTTTAAACGAATGAATGTATTTTCTTATATTATATAGTGCCAATCATTTAAAGACATCACAAATCTCATGCTTTACTCATGCTTTACTAAATATGGGCCATTTTACCAAAAACTCCCTATTTTTGCAATCTTTCTAGACATGAAAAATAATGTAAAAAAAAGTTATAATTGTTTGAAATTTCGGCAACTATAGATGGGCGTCTAAATTGTTTTTGGGTTTGTCTAAAGTCAAAAATAAGACAAAAAATGTCTAAATGTCTAAATTAATATAAATAATAATGATTTGCTTAATATAACAAAGTCCATTTTAGACAATCATGGTCTCAATCGTCTAAATGTCTAAATTAATCTATATTTTAGACATTGTCTAAATAATTTAGTTTAGACGCCCATATCTAAACTGATTATTAATAAATATTCACGTGACAAAGTCACAGATCTCTTACAAATTTGGATATATTTTATATATTGTTAATATTAAGACCAAACCAACCTAAATCCGACTTTCAGGTTCGGGTCGGGTTAAAACATGGGACCCAACCCGATGCAGCCTCTAATTGGAATTACGCATTTGATCTCGCGAATTTCTGTTGCCATTTATTAAATGAAGAATCAGGGTTCAGTTCAACTTCTTATCAAACAATTGTTTGGTAGTTTTCAATTTCTTGGAGGTATTTTTTTCACAAAGATGCTTTTTACGGATGCATCATCAAGAGCTTGATTTTAGGACAACGTCTGTTGCACTTTCGAGTGAATGTGAAGAAGGTATTGCTAATGTGATTTAGAGAGTTTGTCAATAATCTTTAAAGGGAGGGAAGGGGGATCTCGATTTTTCAAGTTGGTGATGAAATGATTTATGATGGAGTCGATGTGTTTTTTTTTGGTAAAAGAAATTGCTGAATCTTGAATAATTTATGCTTTATCCATTTTTTAAGTCGATTACTGAGATTGGTTGTTTGTGGTTCTGACAATTTGTAACATATCGGTTGTGCGAGAAGTCTCCCTAATGATTTTTTATTTGTCCAACTCATTCTTTGAAATCGATATTGTGTGTCGAATGTTATTTATGGTGGGTTATTTGGCGGCGTTAGGGGTATTTTGGTATGTAGTTACAGCTTGGAAACATTGCTGCACATACTTGAAAGCACCTTCGCTTGCGTTGAAAGGAAATTGATCACCAAGGATACGTGATACGTGATAAAGTGCTGTTTGATTAACCTACCAAGAGCCTTCAAAAACAACTCGAGCTCTTCTTTCAACAGCATTTTGGATTGTAGGTTAAAGGTATTTATCTTTAAGGAATCCTTCTAGTCCAGTTTTGACTGTGCATTGTTTGTATTTTGTGTCTTTTTTTTGAACAGATTTGCACACCGTTTTTGAAATTTACAACGACTGCTTGAGAACGTGGATGATCGGTCACTTACAAGTTAGACAAGGACGTTCTAGACATTTAGAAAAATATATTATTTCTAAAAAAAAAATAGAGCAGATAAATGGTAAATATTTACTTGGTTTTTTTTTGTTGTTCTTTGTTTATGTCTTCGTTTACTTTACATTTTTGTGTTTTTTTTTTGGGAATATATACTTCATCATCGTTGATTCCCTGCCATTTGTAGTGTATTTACATTGAAATGGTGACAATGCTTGAATTAAACGGAATTGACAAAATTCTTTTGATTAATGGGAAATTGCTGAAATAACAACAGTTCATATTACATGCAACATCTAAAGAATCACTTTTCAAAATACACTCTTTGTTTTAATTATTGTGAAATACAAGTCCTCTTTTATAATCTAAACATCATCGTCGAACAAATTGTTACACTTTTTCATAATTTATAAATTGTTAACGATTACAATTTTTATTCATTCTTTATTGAACGTGTACATTGTATAACAATTAACAAGTTTACAAGCGAGAAGCTAAAAGTGACGAGAAAATGCCACAAATGCAGAGTTTCTATTCGTAATGCAAATTCTTATTTGTTTTATTTGAAACATTATTATTCGTTTTATTCGTTTTATTCGTTTTATACGAATAGAAGAAACCCTACGTCGATATAATTAATGTCTTATAAATTTTCTTTTATTATTATACACCATCAATGTTTTATTCGTTACCAATCTAATTGAATTTTATTGATATTTTTATTCGTTGCTAATTGTTAGATATTACGTAATTTCTAATTATTTTTCATTTGTTATATCATTCAAATTGGACGTCGCAGTGGGTAAGTGAGCAGCACAAACACCAAATTATTTACGATGGAGCTGTCATTATCATCGTCATCAATGATAATTGTTTGGATGAGGGAAATCTGGAAAAAACCACCTCGAGGAGTTTTCCATCTTGAGCATTTTTTGCGAGACTTTTAAAAATCATCAATTATTATTACGTATATATTCTATGTTGTTCTCTCGTATACAAAATAAACTAATGTGCCTTCCTTGAAGTCGCTATTTTATAATCGGTAAAGCCCCCTTTCTCTGAATGTGGTTAAGCTTGATTTATATATAACGCTTCCACTCATCACATTTTCGGCGGAAGAGACAGTCTTGATGAAGCATGTAGATGATATCAAAAGATGCTGTAAAGATATGATTGTACATTAAAAAATTTGCATAGATAAAAAAAATGGAAGAATGTTTTTTTTCAATTCGGATTTTTTTCTTTTGATTAATATTCTTCATTTATATTTATTTTCGTTGCTCGAATTAGACATAATTTACATCAATTTGTGTGTACATGGATCCTATCCTTAACTATCCCTTCACTCGCTTTCTTTTAAAATAAAAAAATGAGCAATTGCGGCGTACCACTACCACTCCAACTACAAAAAATTACGCGCCCGAGATACCCATCAGAATATTCGGAGTAGTAGTCACCAGGCGCTGTGCAATGCCAATAGTCATAATCCGTACCGCCACCTTCTTGGTCATGGCAGTACCGCGCCAGGTAAGTATGAAAATCAAATGTCACAAAACTAGTTTTATGGGGATTTTATATTTTGTTATATTATTAATATTAATAAAATGTCTTCACCAAGACCAAAAGACGTCATAATAAAAAAAAAAAATGAAGATAGCCATATAAAAAAACATCACAAGAAAAAAGTCATAAACGACAATGACATACTGATAATGATTCAAATGAGGATATCAAATATCCAAAAGGATTTAGATGTATTATAATAATAGTTAATATATAGTTTAATTTATTAAAACAAGATTTGATTAATAGCAAAAAAGTCTATTAATTCATACACAAAGACTCATGCTATCATTATTTAGATATATCAGAAGATGATTATTATTCAAAATCAACAGAATTTCATCTTTGGCTGAGAGAATATAAAGATAAATTTTTTGATGAAATGAAAACTGAAGAAGCTCATTGATACTTTTAAAAATTTGTGAATAAAGTTAAATTAGACAGTTAGTATATACACTTGTATAAAGTTTATAAATAATATTTTTATTATGAAGGAATGCGTTCTTTACAATTAACTAATTCAGAAGGTACTAGATATAAATGGAATATTAATGCAAACCGGGATGAGCTTGATGTTATTGAAAACTCTGTAGATAGGCAAAGTTTGTTACTAAAGTACAAATGAGGGTCAACAAATAACAGGAGTAATATTCATGGTATTAATAGGGGTAATGATGAGTCAAGACCTTCTATAATAATAACGTTCACAAATTAGATATATTTAATGGATTAGGATTTCTCATTATTGTTATTAATATAAATATTTTTTCTTAGGCCCAACAATGCCACCTCCAACAACTAAAAGATCTTATGAAGAAGGTGTATTTGTCAGACTTTAAATATTCTTTTTTATTCTCATAATAAACTAATTAAAAAATTATGTATGAATGTTTTAATTCTTATTGAGATTTTCAGGAATGGATGAAGAGGATAAAGAACATTATGAATGTTTTTTAGAAAAAAAAGGAACAAAGAGAGTTTAGAAAAACTCATAATATTGTTTTGGATGAATTGTTTGTTACCAAACCTACAGGTAGTATTATTTATATATATATATATATTTATATTTTATTGTATATACTTTTACAAATTATATATAATTATATATAATATATAGGTAGAAAAGCAATGATTGAAAAGAAAAAAGTCAAAAATGCATACTATAGAAGAGAAACAAGTCCGAATGTTGAATTAAATGATGATGATTTAATTGATGGCGGTGATGATTTTCAAGCAAGGTAAAGTTGGAATTAGGACAGGCATGTGTGTATGATATGATGTGCACGTATTTAATTAATCATAAATTTTTGAAAAAAATAAATTAGACTTACCTCTCATAATCGATCAAAAGAAATGTAAGAAAAAAAAAACAAGAGTATAAAGCTGAAAAGCGGAAAGTCTAAAAGAAAAGGCTATTGACTACTAAGCAAAAGAAAGAGATACTATTGAAATGTTTAAAAGAATGGCTGAAGAACAACGTAAGGCTGGCAAAGGATTATGGGGTCAAACTGATAACAAATAATAGATAAAAATTTATGAAATACATATGTATATAGGTAAGCCATATTTTAAAATTTAATCTATTAACAATAATAAGTAGAATCCTTTTACTTTATTGTAATATAAATAACATATATAAATAAATTATAATTTATCAATTTATTTGGAGGAACAATTATTATTGTTATATATCAAATTTACTGAATTGATATAAGCAAACTTTTTTCTTTTGTTTATTAATTGATTTTTCAAAATTTTTTCTGGAAATATTATACCCTGTTTTATTTTTGAATTCCTATGAGGGTGACTTGTTTATAGAATTTGGGATCTCAGGCAAAAATTTTCACTTAACTATTGTATACAATTGCAAGTTGTAATTTCTGCCAACTTTGACAGAAGCTTTTTTTGGTTTCAAATCCTCTGTTAGTGCATCATCACCCATGACGGTTTAAGTCCTTAAAAATCAATTCCAAAAGATGGAATGAATCCAATTATATATGTTGTACTTGGGTATTAGGTATATAAGAACTATTCTTTCCATACTTGTGTAGCTATGCTTTCATTATCCATATTCAACTTGGAATGAATTCCTCACACAAGGTGCTTCAAAAGACAAAGAGCCCAAATGCAAATATCAGAACACATTGTTTGCCTTATCCCCCTTTGAATCAATGCATATAGCCTATAAGTGCGGAGGTCAGTTTAACTTGATTTCTGTAAAAGAATGAATTAAATGCTATATAAATGTATGATTTAACAAAATGATTTAAAGTTCTGAATTTTTTCAAAAATCTTCCTTGAATGAATATTGTGTTCAATAATTTTCAGGAGTGGTGCAATTATTACCAATATTTAAAATGCTAAGGCTTGATAATCACATAGGAAAGAATATTTTTAATATTTCCCTCAAAAACAATGCTATTGTTTATCTTCGAATGCCGGGAAAGCAAGCAATCATTTACAGAGTAAAATTAATACTGAGCTAAAGACAACAAGATTAAGTGCTACTACAAACAAAAACAATAAAGTTTTTCATTCATTTAAAAAGACACAATAAACCATATTTTTTATTTTATAATGATGAATTGTTCTTTGTTTACTTTTTTTTATGTAGTCATAGAGCTCGAATTTAGAAATTGTTTAAATTCTTCCACTTCTTTAGGAGAATTTTCAGGTATAACTATAATACCATCAGGAAGATTTAATGGCACATCATCGTCATCATTATTCATATCATCATCATCATCATCATCAAATCCATTTAATAATGGATCATCTTTTTGTGTTGGTATCAAATATCTTTTTCAAATATTATTATTAGTTCTAAAAATAAACTACACAAATTATAGTAATAATAAAATAAATAATAATAATCACATTGTATCTTTCCAGAAAGAATTACTTAAATCAGGTACTTTAATAAAACAATTCTCCTGTTTCATATGTTCCAATAGTTTTTCTGAATTCTCAAATGATTGATTACATGCCATACATGAATTATTTAATGTTTTGTGTCGAATATAATTTATTAATATGATTGTTTGATAAAAATCTAATCCTGCAAATTTTTTAAAAATGATCCTACTGATGGTTAAGAAAGAAGAATATTATATAAAATGAGATGATAACATCTGCAGATATACAATTACCCATATTTTTTTTGATTTTTAATAAATCAAATCCATGAATATCCTTCATATGAAATTTAGTATCTTTGGTAGATGGTGAAATTGTTTCACAAAATAAACATAATGTTGGTTGTAATTCTTCTTCATTCCAATCACCCCAAGAACTTTATATAAATTGTGATTCGTCACGTAAAAATAAATAAATAAATAAATTAACATGATAATGTGACTTACTCATCTATATTAGGATCTTCATCAGAATCGTATTCTTTTTCAAATTCTTCCCAATCTTTTGAAGGATCCTATTTATCACCATCATCATCATCATCATTATTATTTATGATTCATCATCATTATGATTATTATTATTTTACTTACTAAATATTCAGATTCTTCATTACACAGTCCATTATCTGGAACAGTTGTCATGATTATCCTTTTTTTTTGTAAGAAAAAAATCTAAATATTTTTCCACCCAATCAAATTTGTCGCCACTAATAATGGTTCATAGAAATCACATGATTTTTCTTATTAAAATTTTCTATTTTAGTTACCTTTTTCCTAACTGCGTTAGTCATTATGCCTCCATGAAAAGATTAAAAGCAAGGAAAAAAATTAATCTATATTTCTTTTATCTATTCATTTCCTATTTCATCTTGCCTATTCATCCAACTATTTGAGTGAATGTTTGGTATACTGTTTGCAACATTGAATTTAAATATAAAAATATTAAACGAAAGAGGCTATGTCACACATCCAACATACGATTGGACGGCACTTCAATAAATCCGTTTTATTTATCATTCATGTATATATATATAAATATTAATTTTAACAAACACATTAGATAAACAATAAATTTGATTTTTACTTTAATAATAATATAAATAAAAAATATATAATGTAAAATTTATTATCGTTGCTGGAGCATTTAATTTGATCATGTTTATCTGTTAAGATAATTCTATGACCAGATAATAAAGCCCTTGTTTTTTTGTTCTCCAGTAAATTTTTTTGGTGCTATTATTAATATATCAATCGCACCTAGCTGGTAGTTAGACAACACGCTTTCCAAATCACGCGCATAAGCCTGAACCCAGTCAACAGCCAGCTTTCGGACGGACAAGGACGTTCACAACAGGCCGTCTACCGTATATTGGGCCTGATTACCCAATTGATGGCTTTCGCAGGCTGTGGCCACGAAGTGCTTCCATTTTTAATCCTAGTGGCAGAGTAATTTCAAATATATAACAATTCAATAAACACTCAGTGAGAAAATACTCACACTCTTTATAGCACTTCCTTTTCAAAAATATTTCCTTTCGCGACGGACATTACTAATATTGATATTAAAATTAGATTTTGGATTTAAATTTTAAACTCACCTTTTGATATGATTTGTTTTTAAAGGAATGACGCTTTTCTATTTTTTTAATACTAAAGAAAACTTGATTAATACTAATTTAAGGAAATTTGTGACATTAAATTATACATGTGAGGAGGAGGACATTAGAATTTTTAATTATTATCCAATTACACGTGTGTGTGATAATGGTTTTTCACTTTCTCAATCTTTTAAAAAGTGATATTGAAAAATAATCTGAGCTTTTAAGTGAAAAGATGGTACCATTTTTGGATTTATGTCGAGAATAAGACCCTTCGATATTCATTAGAAAGCTTTAATGGGGTAATTTCATTTTACTTTAATAATAATATTCTTTCTGTGACACGAATTTATTTATGATTTTTATACTGCATTCTGTATTTATAAAATATATATTAATGCAAAAAAAGCACCTCTAGTTCTTAATAAATAACACTTCTTCTTCGGAATCATTTTACACCAAATAATAATGCTATTATATATGTTTGTCAATGAATGCTTCGTCCTGGATTCTTTGTTTAAAATTGATTGTTTTTCCAAAAAAAAAAGTGTTCATTTGATGATTTTTCTATCAAAAAAAAAAATTTTTTTTAACAAAGATAGAAAAGAAGAAAATGCTCGTGTATAATGGATGATGGTTTTACAAGCTATTCTAGTTATAAATATTATTTCTTTTAGTTTTAGCGACACCTTCACGATTAATGTTGATGGTGATGACATTCTCTTTTAAAGCTCCGAATGAGCCAAGCTCGAGTTTGATGTTATAAAAATTTTTCTAGGTAACAAATGATTAATTCTACTATTTCATATTACTTTTTTTTATTTACGCACATTATCTAAAAAACAAATTCATTAAAGCGAATAAAACGGACGATTCGAATGATTCGAATAAACGGATAAACGAATAAAAAAAACTGAATAAACGAATAAAACGAATAAAATGAATAAACGAATGATTCGAATAAAATAAAAATGGATAAAAAGGATAAAATAATAACGATAATTTGAATAAAACAAATAATTCGAATAAGAATTTGTATTACGAATAGAAACTCTACATATTAATATTAATATTAATAACGCTAACAAAAAAGGTACAGCTGCACAATTCATTGTTTTAATAAATATCAATATCAAATTATTTATAGGTTCGAATCGAGTCGAATTGGTTCGGCTCGAATTTCATTGATTAGTTCGGAGCCTTGATGACATTATTCAAGGTAACATACGTTGTGATTTTGATTTATTTATTGGATATAAATTATAGAGATTTATAATACAAAGAAAATTTGAAAAACTAGGGCGCGAGAATGATTCAATTAAATATATCATCTATCAAACTAAGTGTAAATAATCTTTAGGACATTCTTCACTTTGTTTTGTTGAGTATTTTTCAAAATCAATAAATTACTTTAATAATAACTTGAGAATCAGGAAATAAATAATTCATAAAATCTATTCATCACTCACTGTACCTTTCTTATTTCATTTTTTTATTGTTTTCAGGTAATTGATGCGTTTGAGCTCTCTCTCCACAGGAGTATGTGATAAAATTGTTTATTTAATTTTTCTTTAGTATTTATGTCAAAAAAATGTTTAGAAATGTCAATCACATGGGCGGATTACCAATTAAAAAATGTTTATTTCTTTCTTCCTCTTCTAATTCAAATACTAAATTCCATAAATAATTGGAAACTTCATATTCATCTGATGCATTATCTATTATTGCAACATTGATATCGTCATTTCCTTCTACAATAATAATAATAATTGTCATAGTTGTAGGAAAAATAGAATAATGATGATATAAATAAATTATATTTACCAATTATTACTTTTAATTTTTGAGTATTTGGATTTTCAAAAAAACGAATTCCCAATTTACGAAATAATGCCAATATAAGTCTTTATAAATAAATAAATACAAGTCTTTAGTATTTTTTCTCTCATTAAATCAATCAACAACAATATTGTTAATTACTAACAAAGAGTAATCTTCTTTTTTCAATCCTTTAGCATCAAAATCCTCTTCTAAAACTTTCGATTCTTTTTCTAAATTTTCATAATCTAAATTTAAAATTGTATGTTCATTAAAAGAGTCAAGAATAAATAAATATTTATTTATTGTAATAACACACAATTAACTATTGATGTAAAAGGATATTGGATTTCTTCATCTAAATTTGATATTGATGACAGCAAATTAGATTTGATTGATTCGTGATTATGTTTACCAACTTTATTATTATTATTATTATTATTATTATTATTATTATTATTAGCATCAAAATCATCTTGACATTCCAATTCGTTCACTTCAATTTTTAAGTTTTTCAATTTTTTGTCCATATCTTTTTTTAATTACATAAATTCATGTATTATATATAAATATCATAATAAGAATTATATACATACATTAATAATAAAAACGCTTTTACTTACTTTTTATCTCGTTTTTTATAATTTCAGATTTATGATGTATTATTTCCTCTCGTTTTCTAGCATTTTCTAAAATATCTCTAAACATATTTCTATAACTACTAACATTACCACTAACATTACCACCTGTACTGCCGATACTAGCATTGTTACAAATATTGCTATAGTCCTTCGTAAAATTTAACAGTTCATGAATAAGATTATCCATTTTTTTTTGGTTTGTTTTTAATTTTTAATTTTTAGAAATATGATCAGATCATCATAAAACGCGTTTTATTATTTGGGGCAACAAAGTGAACGTTTGTATTACCAAGAATTTCAGGGATTAGTTTAACACCACAATTGCCACATTCCCAAATAAAAACTCTCTAGGTCTTCCATGTTTTAGCTACCATTGGTCATTTTTTTTTAGTAAATTTCGTGTACCAATATTTGTAAACGAATATATAAAAAATTTATTTTTGAAGTGCTAATTAATGTGGATATACACCACTGATTTAAAAAAAAATTTTTTTTGATTTTAATTTTATAGATTAAAAAAATCATTCATTCCAATGGACAATGTATTGCACATTTTATGCATTCAATTTGTTCCTATATATAATATTAAAAATAAAAAAAGTTAATATTTTATCTTAAATATGATTATATTTTATATTATATATACATACTTCATCAATAAATGATGGTGTTGGTGGTGTTGATGATGATTGTGATAATTGTAATGACCCCTATAAATATAAGTAGAAAAATGGTGCATCTACTGTTGATGTTTCAGTTGTTTCAGTTTATACTTACAAGTATATTCTTATGGTAGTGTTTTTTTGACAAGGACCCAATGTTGTAACATATATGCTTTCTAACTCGAAGGTTATATTCATTTTTAGTACATCTTTTTTTTGTATTGTTATCCAGGGTTGGCAAATTGACTGGTCCATTGAGAACAGATGGATTTTGGACTGGTCCATTGCCATTAATAAAATACTAAATATGGTTAAAGTATCACACTAATGAACCCAATGGACTACCAATAGGCCATCAATGGACTGCACATTTGCCAACCCTGTTGTTATCACCATCATTAATATTAATATTACTTTCATTGTATGATTCTAATTCATTATTTATCATACCACTAGCACTAGCATTATTTTCATTGTACGATTCTAATTCATTATTTATCATACCACTAGCACTAGCATTATTTTCATTGTACAATTCTAATTCATTGTTTATCATACCACTACCACTAGTATTAACATCACTATTTAAAGATAACTAAATATAACCTTCAATGATTATTTGATTATTATTATCATCATTGTTAAGATTAACGTCATCCTGTAGCTTTTAAAAAAAATATACATGTAAAACATATTAGATTGAAAAAATAACAGAAAATTTTGTTAAAAAACTGATGTCAATAATAACCTCTAACAATTGCAGCCACCAATAATAACTAATAACTAGAGTGATGACAAGTTGCAATGCCAACAGCTTCTACTGTAAATTCACATTGTCTTTTACTTGAAAACAACATTTTTTATTTATTGGTTTTTCAAAATGGATTGTTTTTTCTAGAATTATTTTTTTTGTTGATGCAAGTCACCTTTTTATTGGCTGTGTAGATCCTTGATCTCAAAAATGGAAATGTATGACCTTTCCCTACAATCCAATGATTTCATTTCATTGATATGTAACGTTACCATAGAGGAACGATGCATTAAAGTTCACGAATTTACTATTACTATGTTAACCCCTCAGATGGCCTGTTACACAAAAAATTATATTAAAAATGAACGAATTGGAAGAATTGAAATCTTTGAATTTTTTATGGCCGATCTTTATCACGTGATAACAATAATGAAATTTTACAACTGAGAACAATAATGCATGCCATGCTACGCAAGATCAAAAATTTATCTATTTTAGCATCATTTTGACATTAAAATTAAGTTGGTTTGGATTGTGTCTTCATTGCAAAGAGCAAAAATCACATCATTTTGGTCAAGACAATATATTTGGATAAAATTCTGCCCTTGACAATCTTCAAAAAACACGTGACTAAATTTTTTTATTGCATTTTTGATTGGAATATTTTTCTCAAAATTGGCATCATGGCACAAAAAGTTCAGCAACTAAGTGACTTGCACTATACAAGAAGCCTATTTTATAATTATTTTCTTTTTTCAAAAAAAAAAAAAAAAAATTAGACATGAGTTCAAAACAAGGAAACTGTAGCTCTGCTAAAGAAGATGTGTTGTTTATTGACAATGATGGGTACACTTTTTGTATTGATATGTGTCTTTTTTTATATATGAAATATCTTCTTGAAATCAAAATGTGTAGCAGAACTTGTCATGTTTTGGGTATTTATATGATTCTTGATGATAATAAATAAACAATTGGTATCATTTGCTTTTCATATATATAATCACAAAATGTCAAGGCAACATGACTGACCATTGAAAAGAAACGATTTCAATATGTAACATTTGATTATCAGAAACTTTACAGACATCAAAGCACATGCACTCCTTGAACACTTTACAAGTAATTCACACACATTCCTAGTGTCCACAAGGCTAATCTGACTAGCATGCCCTGATGATACAATGATGCAACAAAATTTTCAGGGAGATGTGGCTCTGAAGTTTATCAAGGCTGCACCATTGTTAAGGACATTTTTGCAAACTCTACCTAATATTCCCTCACAGCACCTGACCATAGGATGCTGAAAAGTTGCCTGCAATGATCCTAGTTCTAGGGTAAAGGTGGTTTGCTCTGCAACCAAAAAGTTGTGCAACTCTGGAGGTTGCAGCATTTTGAAGAGTTGTAATGTTAGGAGTGCACTTAGACATCTAGATCCATCGAAACAATGAGAATCTGCAACTTATTTCAGGCCCAGAGAGGAATTTGCAATACAAGGTGGGATTAGGACTCTGAAATTGCATTTGTGCTCTTTCCTAAATTCTCTGTTTCTTTGACATTAATCAAATTTATGATTTTGGACAGGGGCATGGGTTTTTGCCCAAATAGTCCCTGTCCTATAAATTAAAATTGTCATATGATTATACATATCTTTGTTAATTATGTTCTTGATGAAGATGAAATTATAGGTAAAGGCTCCAATGGTACACTTAGTATGATCTTTGATGGAATTAAGAGATTAAATGGGGCATACTGCAACAAAACCAGACAAAGTGAACATTGGATTACCAAGAATTTCAGGGATCAAAATTTAGTCATTTGTAATGTGATTATGACTATCAGTTTTATAATATCCATTTGTGATATATAGAAATACTCCTATATAAAAAATAGTTAATATGAAACTCATTTACATCAGATCTACTATGGATCCCAAGAATTATAGTACTATCAGAAGTATTTTGAAGAAAGAGCAAGGTGAAAAATTGCTCCTTACATTTTCAAAATAAATGATACTCAGACACTGGAAGCTTATCTAAAAAAGAAAGGATTATCTATGAAATTTATCAAGAAGAAAGAAAAATAATAAATGTTAGAAAAAGAAAACAGAGTGAAAGTGTACTATTACCCAACAAAAAGCAAAAATCTTTAAAAGGAAAATGGCTATCATTTGATAGTTGGAATGAATTTCAATTTATACAGAGGGAAATTTCCTCAATTACTTTTTTATTTTCAATTAAGATCATCTTTTAGTCTCTTTGACTTCAATTTGATCTTTTAATTTACTGTTTTCTTCTTCTAGATGATTGATTTTTTCTTCTAAACTCTTTATCTTATCCAACAACTCTTGCTTTTGCCTTTTACTTCATTCCTTGGATTTCTCTTGAAATTTGGTTATTTCTTCCCTTTCAATTTCTAAGGCTTCTTCAGTCTCATTTAGTTGTTCTTGTAGGGAGTTTATTTGTCTTTCATAAA